ACTCTGTGAGGCCAAGGCAGGAGGACCACTTGAGCCCAGCAGTTCAAGACCAGCCTGAACAAGAGCGAGATCCCATCTCTACCAAAAATAGAAAAATTAGCTGGGTGTAGTGGTACACACCTGTAGTCCCAGCTACTGGGAAGGCTGAGGCAGGAGGATCGCTTGAGCCCAGGAGTTTGAGGTTGCTGTGAGCTAAGATGAGGCCACGGCACTCTAGCCCGGGCAACACAGTGAGACTCTGTCTAAAAAAAAAAAAAAAAAAAAAAAAAAATTAGCCAGGTGTGGTGGTGCGCCTTAGCCCCAGCTACTCAGAAGGCTGAGGCAGGAGGATTGCTTGAGCCCAGGAGTTTGAGGCTGCAGTGAACTATGATGACACCACTGTACTTTTAGCCTGGACAAAAGAGCAAGACCATGTTCTCAAACAATCAAACAAAAAAAGGCTCAGCACAGCGGCTCATGCCTATAAGCCCAGCACTTTGGGAGTCTCAGGTGGGAGGATTGCTTGAGGCCAGGAGTTCAAGACCAGCCTGGTCAACATAGTGAGATCCCATCACTACAAAAAATAAGAAAAATTAGCCGGATGTGGTGACTGATGCCTGTAGCCCCAGCTATTCAGCTGAGACAGGAGGATCACTTGAGCCCAGGAGTTAGAGGCTACAGTGACCCGTAATTGTGATACTGCATTCCAGCCTGGGTGACAGGGTGAGACCCTGTCTCAAAAAAAAAAAGAAACCAAAAAAGTTATGTTTTCTCATGCTGTATATGAGGCTATAGAGTCATAAGCTTCTTTCTACTGGAATTCTCTGATATAGCATAGTGTAGTCATTTCTGCAATTCTGGAATAAATTTTTAAAAAGTTTCTTCTATGATTCTTTTCAAAATCGATAAATAGAACATGGCATAAAAAAGCCATTTTTTCCTATTCATTCTGTAGTATTAAAGCCAGCATTTTTACCATCATAGGCTACAATTTTCACTTTATCCACTTTAATAAATTGTGTCGCCTCTCTGAATTCAACATCACTGAGACTGTTGAGTTCACCTGGGCTCTCCTGAAGACTGCTTCTCAAAACGGTATTTCGTTCTGTTTCAAATATTTTATTATGTAATATGTGAAAGACAGAAAGGAACGTAAGTTATAATGCACAGTGACAAAATAAACACCACGATCCCACCCCCAATTTAGAAACTAGAAAATTATCAACAACCTGGAAGCTCCCTGTGTCCTCCTGTATACACCACCTTGAATTCAATGTTTATTACTCTCTTGCTTTTAAAAAACATGACCGCATATGTATATCCCTAAACACTATTTAGTTTTAATTTCTTTTAAGAGATGAGGGTCTCACTATGTTGCCAGAGGGTGAGGAGGTCTTAAATCCTGGCTCAAGCAATCCTCCCGCCTCAGCCTCCCCCACTCCCAGCAGCTGGGACTACAGGAGTTTCTAAAATTCACCCGAGTTGCGGGACGTAGCAATAATTCACTCATTTCCAGTTGTGGTCACACTCCATGGTGTGCAGACCACAGCTTATCAATCTGCTCTTCCACTGAAGAGCACTGGGCTGTTTGTTCCCAGCTCTCATTACGAGTAAGGCTGCTCTGAACATCCCTGAGCAGCTGTGCGGGGCAGCGAGCATGAGCCACGGTGGGCGGCCGCTGCCGCCGCCAGTAAGCGCAAGAGAAGATACTCAGCGTCTCCACTCACTTGGGAAACGCAAGTCAAAACCACAAAGAGACACTGCGATAGGCCTATCAGAACTGCTTTAACAAAAAACCCGACAGCACCAAGTGGCAGTGAGAATGAACAGCGGCACTGCTAGCGGGAATGCAAAATGCTCCAGCTGCTCTGGAAAAGTCTGGAAGTTTCTTGTAAAGTTAAAAATAGACTTACTACATGACCCAGCAATCCCACTTCTATGTATCTATTCAAGAGAAATGAAAATGAATGTTCACACAAAAAGCCTGTATATGAATTTTTATAATCACCAAAATCCAGAAACAACACAGATGTCCTCCAGCTAGTGAACGGACAGACAAACCACGGAGCCCCCCCACTCCTTGGATGACTCTGCAGATGGTGCACTGAGTGAAAGAAGCCAGTTTCAAAAGGTGAGACACTCTACGATCCCATCTGTGGGACGTTCTCAAGAATGCGTAACTACAGCGACTGAGAACAGATCAGCGGGGTCAGCAGGGGAGGGCGGTTGAGGGCACTGTTCTGTATCCTACGGTGATGGTTACATAAATCTACATATATTAAAACTCAGAGACATGCACATCAAAAAAATGTCAATTTTACTTA